TAGGATTGAATCCCGGCCTTCTTCCCACTACAGCTGGCCCCGCGGGAAGTTACGACCATTACCCTCTTAATCAGGGGAGTCCTACAAGTTATCTGTAAGAACACGCTACAAAATATATATATATATATATATATATTACATTACTAATATGTTATAAACCAACGACTTCCTGTCCTACAGTTTCCTTTAACAATACTCCACTTATCCCTGTTGAGCAAATCCGATACCTAGGACTCCACCTGGACAAACGACTAACTTGGAATCCTCATACTAGACTGAAACGACAAGAAACCGCTCGACGTTTCCGATTACTTCAGCACTTACTAGACAAACGCTCTAAACTTCCCATTAATTACAAAAGACTCATATACTTGACTATAATAAGACCTATTTGGGCTTACGGAGTTGAGCTATGGGGCTCCACTAAACCATCGAATTCCTCTCGCATCCAATCCTTACAATCCAAAATCCTTCGTAAAATCCTCAATGCTCCTTACTTTGTCACTAATAAAATTATCCATAAAGATCTTAATGTTCCTTATGTTTCAGATCTGGCCCAATCCAGATACCTATCCTTCCATAATAAACTTCAGAATCATCCCAACCCTCTCGTTTCTAACCTTGCTTCCTCTTCAATTCCTGATAACCCTCCGAGGCGCCTGAAAAGAAGATGGCCCCGTGATCTCCTAATGTAGTCATATCATTAGAGTGCTACCATTGGGTAGTTACTCAGCAAGTGTATTCATGTCATTATATCAATTATGTCCAAATTTACTTGATGTATTTATGTAATACAGTTGTAAATGTCATAAAGAAATAAAAAAAAATATGTTATAAATTATTATTTCATTAAACTGTAATGTATCATTATAATATGTTAGAATTGTATTATATTGAAATTATTAGAAAAAAAATGTAGCCATGTAAAAATTATTTACTTGTTATTAATGGAACCGACCGCTAGATGTAGCCATCTGGTCGGACCAAATTTTAATTATTGGTTAATAAATTCTAAAGGGAACATTTATTCTTCACCACTGTGTTGATTTGAAAATATCGTAGGAATCCTATACACATAAAATCCTTGTGATTTTGTTTGTTTATATGTTGAGGTGCCAATACCACATGTTTTAGATAATTCCACCTGCAAAAGGTAAATGCTTCAAATTCAGACACAACTTTGACCGCCATTATCGAGCATAGGGGGGATGGTGGAGTTTGCAGTACCTGAGGCCCATTATTTTTATCAACAAGTCTTTTCATTTTAGCTATTTCCTTGACAAAAAAAAAAATAAATAAATAAAAACTTTTGCTTGTTTCATACAAAATTTCGCAAATTAGTTGTCATTTATCTGAGATAGTTTTTGTGCTGCCAAGACAAGCAGCGATTAATTCAGACCCGTTAAATTATTGCTAGAAAAGAAGATCTCTCATTCGTTCCTTCTTCAACCTCCCACTTTGTAGGTACATCAGGAATGTTATGTACAGTTGTATGTTAAGCACAGTTATCAAAAAACCTGTACCACTACAACCCATGAAGGATCTGGGGTTCAGTACTATTTAGGGAAAGCACTGTTTCTAGGTCAACGGTTGTGCAAGGAGGTGATTTGACCGAGATGACGCTCAACCGCCAGGTTTTCCCCCTTAATTAATTATTTAATTAAGGGTACCCACTTTATAGAGGCTGGGTGTGCTCCAGGAGGGACTTCTGACCCAAGGTCGCCCCACGGCCAATGAAACAGATAAATAAATTTTCTGCCATGAGCCGGGGTTCGAACTCGGGACCATTGCATTGGAAGCTCAGGGCCCTACCACTGAGCTACCCCGCTCCCGTTAAGCACAATTATATATAAATTATATGTTGTGGCAATTTATCTAGAAGCACTCAGCGGATACAATAAATTCCTCATCAAGACTTAAGGAACCATAACAGATTTTGACATGAGACTCTCTTTCTCACCGACCACATATCAATATTAAAGGATTAGAATATCAATTTTCAACAACTTCTCCATTCCTCCAAAGGCTTCCTTCATCCTGTGTACTATCGCTGGGAATATTAACGACCGCGGCCCCCAGAACAAATCACTGTTACAGTTACGTTCTTATAGCAACGCTCTTTCCAGGAGACCTTGATGCATAACCTTGTTGGCATGCTCTTACAGGAAACCCAGATTCATGATCTTGTCTTAAATGTTGTTGCCTTATATAAAAATAATACATAGTGACTGTTTTAGTATGAGGCTTAAATCGCTCACATAAACCAATCAAAAAGCTATTTTCTTATTTTGGGAAGGGGGATGTGAGGAAGGGGCATGAGTCTAAATGCTCTACCCCTCCTCCTCCCCCTCGAATGTGTTCCTTGGGAACTATTCCTTTCTGAAAGAGTGTCGGCCTTAGACATCCGGCGTCGCCGGCCAATGAAACCACTTAAAAAATTCTCCCTTGAAAATATTTTTTTTTTTTTTTTTTTTTTATTGATAAATATTACAATCTGTCTCAATAAAGGACATTTATAATAGAGTTCTGAGAGCACATTCACACCATATTTACAAATTAAAAAAAAAAGAATAAATAAAAAAAATAAGCTAACTTCAAATAATATAAAGCTACAAAAGAACAAAATAAAATATCATAGTGAGAAAAAAAAAAGTAATGAAAATAAACATCTTAGACGCAGGCATACCTATTTACACTATTTACAGTCGGCCATAGGAACTCCGAACCATACTTATCTCCCCACACGTGGAGAGAAAGCAAGGCTTCAGGAGATTCCTGCGCTTCTTCCTCAACCATTTCACTGGCATTGAAAGCCAGCGGAGATTGAGTAAGAGCGCTACAACCACGTACACTCATGACTTGAGTGGAGAATCTGGCCATTGCCAGAACTCCAGTATATACATGTTACAAAAGGTCACGGGGCCACTGCCGTTTCAGCCTGCGAGGAGGATTGTAGGGATGAGTGGTGTTAGATAGGGATTGTGCTATGGGATTAGGGTGATGGGTAAGGTTCTGATGAAATTTGGAGAATTTGTCTGGGATAAGATCAAGAATAAATGGAATATTAAGGTCATTGTGCAGCGTTTTATTAGAGACATAGAAGGGAGCATCGACTATTGTACGGAGGACTTTGGACTGGAAGGATTGAATGCGTTTGATGTTAGAAAATTTGGTTGTCCCCCACAGTTCTAGTCCGTAGGTCCACATGGGTTTTAATATTGTCTTGTAGATCAGTAGTTTGTTTTCAATAGAAAGTTAAGATTTTCTATTAAGTAGTCTATATAGCTGGCCATAACGTCGGTTAAGTTCCTGTCTTTTCAGTCTAGTATGCGGATTCCACGTTAGTCGTCTGTCTAGGAGAAAACCAAGGTACCGGACTGTGTCACAGAAGGGAAGCTGGATGGTATTAAAGTAAACTGGTGGACAGGAATTACGACGAAGGGTGAAGGTTATATGTTTACATTTGGATTCATTGACTTTGATGCGCCATTTCTTGCACCAGTGTTCAATCAAGGATAGGTGCCGTTGCAGGTTTCTGGACGCTATTTCAGGATCTGAGTTAGAAGATAGGATCGCAGTGTCATCAGCGAAAGTTGCCAGGAGTGTATCGGGATGGACGAGAATGTCAGCGGTATAGATGATGTAAAGGATGGGACCCAAGACGCTGCCTTGAGGAACTCCAGCCTCAATCGAATAACAGTCGGAAAATTCTGTACCACAGCGAACTCGAAAGGAGCGGTCGGAGAGGTAGGATTGGAGTATTAGGTATAAGGACTGTGGTAGATGGGATTTGAGCTTGAAGAGCAGTCCGGCGTGCCACACCCGGTCAAAAGCTTGCGCTATGTCCAAAAATGCACTCGAGCAAAACTGCTTGTTTTCAAGGGCTGAGGATATGTGGTCAACAACTCGGAGTCCTTGTTGGATGGTAGAATGTTGGGAACAGAATCCGAATTGATGGGTAGGGATTTTACGGGAGTCTATTATGGGTAGGATTCTTTTCAGGAGGATCTTTTCAAAAATTTTTGAAAGAATTGGGAGTAGGCTAATTGGTCTATAGGATGATGTATTATTGGAGGCTTGCCTCGTTTCAGGAAAAGGATGATGGTGGAATGTTTCCATAGGAGAGGGAAGTGGGTAGTTCGGAGGATACAATTGTATATATAGGTTAGAAATATGATGGCTTTGGATGGTAGTTGTCGTAGGATCTGTGGGTTAGAAGGTCGTATCCAGGAGATTTACGAGGAGTAATTTTGCGTAATAGGTATTTGACCTCAGAGGGATTAACTGCTTTAGGTGGTAAGGAGAGTGGGATAGGTGAAGAAAGGAATTCTTCTACTTCCTTAAAAAATTAAATTTATTTCTTAAGCTGTTTTATATGATAATGTAGAGATGGTTGACCGTTGATATAATATGAGAAAGAGTTAGTCGAGGGTGCGGTCAAATAAATAATAAATTAAAAAATATTAATTATTTTAATTTTTGCCGACGTTTCAACCCACTTTGCAGGTCGTCTTCAGGGCTTCAAAAGGTACAAAACATGTTGAAAATAAAAAATAAATATAAGTATATATAAAATAAGAAGAAGTTGTCAGATACAGAAATAAAAGATGGTATCAAAGATATAGTGGGTGACAATGTAGTTAAATATTAAGAATTATATATGTAGAAGACACAAATAAATGGAAAATAAGTATGAATAAAAATAAAAATAATGGAGAATATAGCATGTAAGTTAAAAGTAAACAGGTTGCGATAAAAGATAAGGAATAATTTGTTAAAGATAAGGAATAGTTTGTTATACACTTATTCCTTATCATCGGGAACCGATGCGATTATGACTTGATCATCGGCATACTGCAAATTTTAGATGACATCATCCCCGATTTGAACACCCATTTCACCGCACGCTCTTTTCCAGTCTTTAAGGGCTTGTTTTATATAAATGGTGAATGGTGAAAATAAATAAAAAAATAATATTAATGACTATTTATTAAAGATATTGTAGAAATTGATTGACACTAATTGAATAATGTCTTAGAGAAAAAAAATAAGGATAAAGATAACCATATTATGTTGTATGTAATATAAACAAAAAATTAATTTTGTTTTAAATATTTATTTTACCGACAAAAAATACTGTCAATAGGCTAGAGTAATAAGTACAAAGTGTATAAACACAAAGGGTTTGTAATGGGCCAGCTCTCAGGGCCGCTACAAACTCTAGACGAGTTCAGACAGGGTGTCTAAATACGTATAAGGTTTGTAAATACGTATCCCGGTTGACTCCTCCCCTCTCCACCTCTATGGCCAGCACTGCCTGTAAAGATGTCTTCCACGTCTCATTAGTATTAGAGTTGATTATTCTGAAGGGATGGTGGCAGTGATTGTGTTGAGAGCTATTCTTTTACTGTTGGTTATTATATTGTGACTAAATCAATCTTTCATTTTTATCTTCGTTTCTTGTACATGACAAACCAGAACAAGTGAAGGGTGAAGAAATAGATAATTTCTGCAAAGCTGAGCAAACTGCAGCCAAAGAAGAAGCCAACAGTACCACCAACAGCCACTGGAACAAAACAATTAACTCAAAGCTTCTTATCTAATAAGTAACCTTATAGACCAGCAAACTTGTCACAAAAAAAAAGTGCGATAATATAGCAGTTTTTTGCTAAGGTCGAAAACTTAAGCAGACCCTACCGGTAATTCATGAATGAACGTCACAAGAAGTTCCAAGATTGCCCGCTATCGCTTTGATCATGAAGAGCCTTACACGTTCAATCATTACTGATCATTACTTACCGTTGCTGATACCAATTTAGCTCAGTTGTAAACAAAGAAACAGCATAGATATGCTTATCTGGACATTTTCATTTATAATATTGGGCATCAAGAGAAAAACGGAGATATAATAATTACTTCCTAGTGCCTGAAAATCGTTTAGACCAAAGTTAGAAAAATATAAGTCAACTACATACAAAAATCTAGGAAAAGTATTGCGAAAATAAGCAATTTGTTAAGAAAAATGGAAAAATTAATGGCAAATAAACACAACAGTTAAAGATTCTTTTTCTATAAGTAAATTGTGAAGTTTCCACTTTTTTTTTCTCTTCAATTTATTGCCTACTTGACTATTTAAAGAAAAAATAGTTGAAAATGGTTAATAATAATATAGACTAGGGATATAAACAACTATTTACTTAATAACGAGACCTAGGTAAACTAACCTATCTAGTAGTAGTCTCATAGAAGGTTAGTCTCATAGAAAATCGTTTTGACAAAAATTAGTAAAATATAAGTCTACTACTTACAAAAATTAAGGAAAGGTATTGCGAAAATAATAAATTTGTTGAGGAAAATGGGAAAAGAACTGATAAATATACACAAAGTTAAAGTTTTTTTTTTTTCATAAAGTAAATTGTGGTTTCCTCATTTTTTTTTTAAATTTGTTGCCCACTTGACTATTTAAAAGAAATAGTTGAAGATGGTTTAAAATAATAAACAATGGCTATGAAAAATTATTTAATTATTTACATATAATGAAAATCAGAAATTTATAATGGTTGTGAGGCCTAGGTAACCTAACCTATCCAGCAGTATGGTTAGCCCCCCCACTACTTTTACCTCAGCCCCCCCCTCCACTTCTCGTGAATGAACCTTTGATTTCCGGATGTTCGGAAATCCGCAGCGCACCACCATCAGTACTTCATTCACTACCTTACACGACAATTCGGAACGTCATTAGTGCAATTCCGATTGACCGTGTAGGGTCCCCTTTACATCACATAATTTCTTATTTTGATTATGTTTATTTCATTGGTCCGTACTTTGTTGCTGTTATTATTATTTATTTCTTAGTTCTCTGTTACTCTTATTACTCTACCTACTTTAGTTTACTTTAATTTTCACTCTATCTTCTTCATTTTAAGTTTTTTCTACCTACATTTTTTACTCTATACCTTTCACCTTTTTTAATTTAATTTATATGTTCTCATACCTATAGTTATTTGGTTCTTTCCTTAGCTCTGATGAAGGCCTGAACTTCGGAACGAAACGTCGGCAAATGTAAAAATAATAATTATTATTATTTTTGCTATATTTTTTATTTTGACTGATCACTCCAACTATTCTCCTCTTCAATTATCTTCAATTATTATCTAATCTTCAATTATTCAACCATCAACCCACAATTGAAAATTCTTTTTGATTTCTAACCCTTATTATTAAGGAAGGGAAATAAACAACTGAAACAGATTGTTGGGTTAAAAATAGACAACCTATAGTGGGCAACATGTGTTCAGACAAAGTGTTTCATGCAATGATTGTTAACAAATTAAAAAATCTATAAAAACAATGTTTAGTTAAATCTTTTATATTTAAAAATAACTTCGAGACTATTCCTATTAATTTTATCAAAAATATTTGACTAACAATTAATACAATTAGTTTGAATAAAAATTTAAGTATAAAATATGAATTTGAACACTGGTAAACTTTTCATTCATATTAATTTTTTTTTTAATGCAGTCCTTTGTTTTTTGGTACCATTTTAAGTCATCTTGAAGTTAAATGGGAGGGTATTTCCCCTGTTCTTCAACAATTTAGAATGATATATTTTTATATCATATTATATTATATCATATGATATATTTTTATATCCCGCAGTGCCACATCCTACGGTATGTTTTGACTTTTACTGTGATTCTTTTCATAACACACCTATCCTTCAACTATACACCTTATTTTTATCTTCATGCAGCCTACTATTCTATTACCGCTTTTAAAAAACTGAATGTCAATTGTCATCTACATATAGTACAACCTGTTTTTTGTTTCTTTATCATCATAACCTTGTTTTACATTTAAACTTATATTCTTAAGTTCTCTTTTAAAATTATTGTTTTCTTATATAGTTATTTATACTTAATAATCTATCCCAACGATATTACACGAATATTACCCTATTAATCTTTCAATTTCTTTACTTCTTAACCTTTGGTCCCGTTATCTGTTTATCTACAATCAAATGTAACCTCCACTAGCTTGTTATCCACTGATATCTTATTATTATGTTATCTTGTTCTTATTTTAACTTTACTATAACAATACTTATTCAATTTTCAAACTATTTATTCGTTAACATTTATTTTCTTTATCTGTTAACCCACAGTTATCTAATGTAATCTCTATTAGTTTGTTATACACCTTATCTTTTATCGCAATATGTTTACTTTTAACTTACATGCTATATTCTCCTTTATTTCTTATTTTTATTCATACTTATTTTCCATTTGTTTGTATCTTCTACATATAATACTTGATATTTTAACTACATTGTCACCCACTATATCTCTGATATCATCTTTTTATTTCTGTATCTGACAACTTCTTCTTATGTTATATCTACTTATATTCATTTTTTATTTTCAACATGTTTTGTATCTTTTGTAGCCCTGAAGACGACCTGCAAAGTGGGTCGAAACGTCGGCAAAAATTAAATAATTACTATATTTTAATTTAGTATTTATTTGACCACACCCCCTCCCCCCCGATTAACTCCTTCTCATGATATATTTTTATGTTATTTCACTGATGTTATATTTTCATTTATGAACTGTGAATCAACACACAAACCCATAAATGTTTGGTAAGATTTAAATCTATACTCTGGAGAGGAGTTTCATTTCTATTTGGATCATTTTCATGTGTGGGTAGCTCGGGCCAAGGGTTTTGAATCTTGAATCCTCGTAAAATTTGAATCTTCGTTCTATACTCCTTTTCCATCCATCTTTAACAGTTTATGAAAATAAAACCAGGAATAAATGAGAACAACAAGGAACATGCGAGACTAGATATGATTTGGAGAATATTAAAACAAAATTGATTGAAAGTCATTTGAACAGAAAAATTATTCTTATTAATTTAATGATTTAGAAAATTAGGTAAACTGTTACCAAAGATGTTTGTGATAAAACATAAAGGTAACTGCAGTGATATAATATACTCAGATGAATATATATTTAATGTCAATAGGGTGGAGAAAATTTCCTATTAAATTTCTATAAAATTAGCACACAATCCTATTGTTTCAACAATTTCATTTCATACTTGTAGCGCTGATGTAAAAATAGTAAACATTTCATGAATAAAATATAATTACAATTAATTTATCATTGCTATAAAATCTGAAAATTACCTAGTAATTCTGTCTCACCAAAAAGTATGCCTCTCTTTAATCTAAACTTTGGATATTTTGTTAAGCCCCATTTTAAATTTGTTCCAAGTGTCCTAAAAAAAAGCAATGTGTAAGTAAATGTTTGATATCACTTGTATTAATGTATACAAATTAACATTTATTTATTTCCCTTTTCCTAATTTATATTTATATCCCTATTAAAAATGAATAGTGCAGAGGCCAACAGAATTAAGCATAGTACTCAACGAACATAATTCAGATCTTAGTTTGTCACTGTGCTTAACGAACATAGGTCAAATTCTAGCATGTCACTATTTTCTAAAATTCTTTTAAATGAAAATCTGTAGGCTTGTTAAGGGTGGTAACTGTGGCATGATATATATTTCCTGCATCCTTTCAACTCTCATAGAAAATGAGTTTCTGACATCAGCCAAAGGAAAGCAATGATCTCATCTTCTGAGAAACTGAAAGTGAATAAGGTTTTTGATGGTGGGATAAAATTTGATGGGATTATCTTGTAGGAACAGGGTTGGAAAGTTCAGAGACAGTTTTGAGGAGGTGATTGGAGCCTATTAGGATTGTCTTGGTCTTTTCTGCATTCAACTTCAGCTTGTTAGCTCTCGCCCAGTCACAAATCCTATCCAAGTCTTCTTGAAGTTTTTCAGTGGCTGATAATAGGTTGGAGGACAGGAGTCAGAAATGTTTGGCATGGAAAAGGGAGCGAAACAAGGCCACTCTATGACCCTCCCCCCTACTCTTCATTCAATATATCGATGAGATCACCTCTATTTGCAAAGTTCGCACAACCAGAACGCGTATGGTATAATGGAACCTATATCCTGTAGCCATAAAGTTCCTCCTATTTGCAGATGACATTGCTCTTTTGCCGAATCTTCATAGTGAATTTAACAGGCAGTAACGGAGTGGAATGAGGAACTGAAGAGAAAGAGAATGATGAGTGGAGAGTTGATGGAGGTGGTGACGGATTTCACGTATCATGGTGATCAGTAGATTTAATAAAGCGGATTTGGAAATCTCAAGCAGAATCTCTCCAAGACAAACACCGTTTACTACCAGATCTGTAACTCTGTTATTCAAGTCTGTCTTCCTACCAATACTTCTCTATGGAGCAGAAAGCTGTATTATGAATGAGAGACTACTAAGTTGTGTCACTGCCTTGGAAACGAAGTTCCTTAGAAGAAGTGTGGGGAAAACAGGAAAATACTGAGTTCAGAATGAGACGATTAGAGAAGAGCTGAAATTTAAGCCCGTTAATGGAAACCCAGAGAAGAGGCAACTGAGGTGGTATGGGCCGAATGGATCCCCCAGAAACCCAATTAAAACTGTGGAAGTGAGACCGTTTGGAAAAAGACCAAGAGGATGTACAAGAACCTCCTATTTCACCCACTTGGAACGCATAGGGAGACATTGCAAGAAATGAGAAAGCTTGTCAGAAATAGAAACTCGTGGTTAGAAACTCAATTCAACCAATATGGCCGGAGGAGTACTACTTGTAAATAATTACCAGAATTACCTCCACACTGAAAAGAAAATGGATGGAAGAAATAGAAGAAGAAATTTCAAAGGTAACTCTTGCTCCTGAACTAACATTTACGATTGGTCTTCTAAGAAATATTCTATTGCATGAAGCAGATGGCACAAACGCACTGAGTCTAATGTAGAAAATGCTTATTTAATGGTGGAGATCTGTCATTTATAAAACAGACTGAGTCCATCAGGATATTAACAGTATCGGATATATTTATGTAGGGCTTACCACAGGCCTGAAGCATTAGACTTTTTTTTTTTTTAACTTTTATTATAATATTTACAACTGTATTAGTATGAATACATCAAGTAAATGCGTACATAGGAATATTATCACATGAAACACGCTTGTTGAGAAACCACCCATTGGTAGCACTCTAATAATTTGTCTACATGAGGAGATCACGAGGCCATCTTCTTTTCAGACGCCTCGGAGTGTCATCAGGAATCGAATAGGAAGCAAGGTTAGAAACAAGAGGATTCGGATGGTTATGAAGTTTATTATGGAAGGATAGGTATCTGGATTTGGCCAAATCGGAAACATATGGAACATTGAGGTCTTTATGGATTATTTTATTTGTGACAAAGTAAGGAGCATTGAGGATTTTACGAAGGATTTTGGATTGTAAAGATTGGATACGAGAGGAATTTGATGGTTTAGTGGAGCCCAACAGCTCAACTCCATAAGTCCAAATAGGTCTTATTATAGTCATGTATATGAGTCGTTTTGTAATTCATTGAAAGTTTAGAGCGTTTGTCCAATAAGTGTTGGAGTAAGCGGAAACGTCGAGCAGTTTCTTGTCGTTTCAGTCTAGTATGAGGATTCCAAGTGAGACGTTTGTCCAGCTGGAGTCCTAGGTATCGGATTTGTTCTACAGGCATAAGTGGGGTGTTATTAAAGGATACTATAGGACAGCAAGTCATTGGTTTACGACGAAGGGTAAAGGTGATTTGATGGGATTTATTGGAATTTATTTTAATCCTCCAGTTTTTACACCATTCTTCAAGGTTTGTGATGTGTGATTGAAAAATTTGGGATGCAATTGTTGGATCATTATTAACTGACAAGCATTAGACTTAAAAAAATAAATGATAATCTAGCTATTCAGATTTTAAAACTTTGAACAATAATTAAATCGGTCCTATAAATTTATTTATTTCATTATAAACTTTGTTTTTTTGCTTACCAGGGCATAGAGTTGTCGGTGTCTACAATATAGTTAACTTCATTACAAAGTTGTAAACAATCACATGGAATTTTTCGGCCAGTATTTGGATCTATCATTCGGACTAGCCGTTCTGTAAAAGATTTTTTTTTTCACACTTAGATAATAGTACATGTACCTGTAATAATTGTATTTTATTGCTCACCTGAATGTTTGTCCAAACAGTGCATGCCATCCAAATCGCAAACCGGATAATTGTCTGTTACAAAATTCGATGAATATATCTTAATGTGCATTAATATTGATTTATGAAATAAATAAATAAAATACATAGAAATCAATAATTTTATATTAGATGATAATTTTATATTTTCTTTTCTTTTTATAAATATATATCTTCTCTAAGAGTTTTACATTAGAATTTACAACCTGTACGTAGTTCTAATTAAGAAAAAAAATAAAATGAGAAATTCAGTTCCAAAGAGCAATTTATCCATTTTTATCTACACATGGGCGAGGGATTAATACTATACTATCTCTACTATACCTTTATTATCGGTCAATAGACTATTAATACTTATTAATAGTCGATATCGTAAATATTTTTGAAATATCAATATCAATATAAATATCTTTATATATGACAATATTAACAAACAGATAAAAAGTATTAGTGATGATGAGAGCGTGAAAGTAAACCAAAATAATAAAATTTAAAAAGAACCGAATTTAATAACAAATCATTTTGAAACTGAAAATACAGTAATACAAAAACCTTCCATGAACTATATACATGACATTAAGACATAAAATGAAAAATATAATGAAAACAAACAACCTAAAAAATATTTTAGCGTCACATATATTAAAAATTTAACGGATAAAATAGAAAGAGCATTTAAACAATACGATGTAAATGAAATTAAATTTGCAATCAAACCTATTAATAAAATAGATGCAATTTACTCCAAAACTAAAGATAAAATACCAACCGATAAATTAACGAATATTGTTTATAAAATAAATTGTAAAAATTGCAACAACAAATCATATTTTGGACAGACATCACAATGGTTTGAAAAAAGACTTAAACAGCACAAACAAAATTGTAATTAAAAAAAAAAAAAAAGTAAATTACCTACTGGACTCTCTCAACATACTATGCAAACAAAACATGAATTTGATTTCAAAATCCCTGCATAATGAAAGTAATTCGAATAAACGTAGGAATATTATATTCATATAAGGAAGCGGTATACATAACTAAAAATTTAAAAAAATCTCGGTAAATAATCATACAGACGTGGGTAATATGAATACATTTTACGCGAGTTCAATTGAAAAAATCAAAATTTGAAATTAATTAGCTAGTATTACTAAAATAGGTCCACATATAATATTGGGAAACATCATTGTATATGTTTAATGCCGATCAGCCTCCTCTCGCACATCAGCAAGATTTTGGAGAGGCTAATCCACCATCAGTTTATGAAGCACTGCTGGAAAGAGAGCATCATACCACCAGAGCAGGCTGGTTTCCAGAGAGGGGTCGCGTGTGAACACCACCTAGCTAAACTTCAGGCCCACACAATAGATGAAATGAGTCTCAACAGAGCTACGGCGCTCATCTCTTTGGACTGCAGCCGGGCCTTTGACTGCGTGTCACACACGCATCTACTTCGCCGTCTGGAAGAGTTCAGGTTTCCTACCACTCTATGCCGACTGATCCGAAGCTACCTCAGCGGAAGATCTCTCGTCGTACGAGTTGGTACAGACTACTCAAACCCAGTCGATGCCACCTGCGGAGTACCTCAAGGGTCTGTGTTGGGGCCAATACTGTTCGTCGTTTTCACGGCGCCAGTGGTGGCACTCAAGCATCCAAAGGCGGTGGTAGCAGCCTATGCGGACGACATTGGCATATATGCTTCCAGCATCAACGCGGAGACTGCACTCACTCTGGCACAAAATGCTTCAGCCACAATTGTTGAAGAGCTAGAAGAGATCGGTATCAGAGTGAATCCTGCGAAGACTGATGCTATTGTCATGTCGTTTCAGAAGGGAAAAAAGCATCTACCCACACAATTCACAGTTGGAGGAGCTTATCATAAAACCTCTACCTCGATTGTCTACCTCGGCGTCACGCTAGATAGACTTTTGACCTTCTCCAATCACGTTAGGCAGAGGATCAAGCTGGCACGAAAGAAGTCACACCGGCTCTACCATCTACTGACGTCGCCGCAGCTCTCGCTGAGACTCGAGCTCCAAATTTATAAAGCTATTATAAGACCAACACTGCTCCACGGGGCCCCTCTCCTGCGATACCTATATAAATCGACGCTTACGAGTCTACAGGGCTTCCAGAACTCTATCCTTCGGCGAATTGTCCGTGGCACCACCCTACAAAGGGCTAAGAATCAAACAATACGCGAGGAGCTCCAGCTCCCCTCGATACCTGAGTTCATAGGCCGGAGGCACATCAAATTTTTTGATGGGCTGAAGGCCTGTGCAAACCCACTGTTCAATGAGATCTCACCACCAGCCAGACCTGGGAGGTGGCAAGGTAAACTCCCTTTGGTGGACATACTCGCCGAAGGATGTGGTCTGGTCTCTGCGGTCCAAATCCATTAATTTGTATATACTGTAAATAATAAAAAATTAGCAGAACGGTCCTTCCCCGTTCAATGTCAAAGTCACAAGGCCTTCTGCCACATATGTAACCCTTAGCTATCCCCAATCCTTAAAATGCCCTCGGGCAGTGGAAGGAATTTATTACATGTTTATATTGTATTATTGTATACTATATATGTAATTGTTTCAATAAACCTTTTGGAGGGTAAGAAAAAAAAAAAAAATTAAAATATTAAAATAGTATTATCTATATAAATAAAATAAAGATTTTGTCTGTACATTGAATAGAATCAACCCGTTTCATGATATATTTTCGTTTTATACATTACAGACACCGGATCCACTTTTTTAAAAAAATTTGTTTGTCTGGATGTTCGCATTGTCCAACGAAATTTTGTCAGAGTAAGCTCAGCAATGGCTCATTGTAGACTTTTGAAAATTGAGGACGTTACCTGAGATGAGAGAGGCAGGACATTGAAGACCAAGAATATCAAGCCTAAAGTTATAAAACTTTTATACATTCATTTATTATCAGTTGTTAGAATACATTTTTTTATTATACAGGAGTGAAAAGTCATTTTATTTAGTTGTCCTATAGGCCTCACAATTGAAGAATAACAAATCAGGTGAGTCAATTCATTTAAAGTATATTTAGTCAGTCCCACATTTCAGATATATATTCTCATTGTTTCTTCTAATTAAGTGTCACAAAAAGGTATTAGATTCCCGATTCCCAACAACAGTTAAACACCATCAAAAAGTTTATATCCAGTGCCGGGGTTTTGTTTTAATATTCAGGAGTGTAAATAACCCAGTTCCCCGTCTAGAGATCTCGGTTGATGTTGATAATAAATGTTAATAATAAACATATGTTTATAGGTTAAAGAACATCTATATAAATAAAATAAAGGTTTTGTCTGTACATTGAATAGAATCAACCCGTTTCATGATATATTTTCGTTTTATACATTACAGACACCGGATCCACTTTTTAAAAAATTGTTGTCTGTCTGGATTTTCGCATTGTCCGTGTTGTTCATGTCATTCAATTCAACTTCCAGAGCCTAACAAATGTTGTGTACATTTTTAGGATTAACCAAACGGATTATCCGGAAATCAGGAAAAAATAACTCCAAAAATTTTACCCAGCCCGCCACAATATTCAGATCAAGTTCTAATTTTACACGGATGTAGGTGACTCAATGCCCAATGTTATTTTGGTTATTTTGCTAGCGACAAACTCAGCAGAGTTTAAAGAAGTGGAGAGACTACGACTCTTTTTGATTAATTAATCGACTCCAATTAATTCATCGACAATTAATCCTCGCTTCACCATAAATGAAAATTAAACACTTACCGAATTTTATAGGGGACCCTACACGGTCAATCGGAATTGCACTAATGACGTTCCGAATTGTCGTATAAGGTAGTGAATGAAGTACTGATGGTGGTGCGCTGCGGATTTCCGAACATCCGAAAATCTAAGGTTCATTCACGAGAAGTGGAGGGGGGGCTGAGGTAAAAGTAGTGGGGGGCTAACCATACTGCTGGATAGGTTAGGTTACCTAGGCCTCACAACCATTATACATTTCTGATTTTCATTATATGTAAATAGTTAAATAATTTTTCATATTCCTTGTTTATAATTTTAAACCATCTTCCACTATTTCTTTTAAATAGTCAAGTGGGCAACAAATTAAAAAAAAAAATGAGGAAACTTCACAATTTACTTTAGGAAAAACGATTTTCTATGAGACTAATCTTACTACTAGATAGGTTAGTTTACCTAGATCTCGTTATTAAGTAAATAATTTCATAAAAGTAAATAGTTGTTTATATCCCTGGTCTATATTATTATTAACCATTTTCAACTATTTTTTCTTTAAATAGTCAAGTAGGCAATAAATTGGAAAGAAAAAAAAAGTGGAAACTTCACAATTTACTTATAGAAAAAAAATCTTTAACTGTTGCGTTTATTTGCCATTAATTTTTCCATTTTTCTTAACAAATTGATTATTTTCGCAATACTTTTCCTAGATTTTTTTTATGTAGTTGACTTATATTTTTCTAACTTTGGTCTAAACGATTTTTAGGCACTAGGAAGTAATTATTATATCTCCGTTTTTCTCTTGATGCCCAATATTATAAATGACAATGTCCAAATAAGCATATCTATGCTCTTTCTTTGTTTACAACTGAGCTAAATTGGCGTCAGCAATGATAAGTAATGATTGAACGTGTAAGGGTCTTCATGACAAAGCGATCGCGGGCAATCTTGGAACTTCTTGTGATGTGACGTTCATTCATGAATTACCGTGTAGGGTCCCCTTAATAGATCGGTGGTGGTCGGTTTAGCTGTGTGGTACCTAAACAAATAGCCGAATAACAAAGTTTTTGTTATGACTATTGCGAAACCTCGACTTCCACAAGCCCTGCCATACATTTTTTTTTTTTCAAACCAAATCCCCTCTCCCCCTCCTCACCTAATTTTATGATCTCACCTAATAATATAAAATCCATCTCAAAAAAAGATTCTTAAATTTTAAATATGCATCCGTCAACGACGGGTACATCAGCTAGTATGCTATTATAAAGGCGTACATTGTGTGTATTATTATTATTGACTTTTATTGTGAATATATTAAGTTATATATAATATATTAATTATATAATATTAATAATTAAGTTGAAGTTGAATGCGGAAAAGACAAAGGCAATCTCAATTGGCTCCAATCACCTCCTTAAAACTGTTCCACATATTCCAACTCTTTTCATACATGATAATCCAATCAAATTTTATCCATCTATCAAAATCCTTGGAATAGCCTTCGATCAAACGCTTTCCTGGAAAAACATGTATCCAACATCTCCCGCCGGACCATTTTCACCTTAAAACGCCTAAACTACTTCCGTCACTTATTTGCCATTGAAACCGAAGACTCCTGATCACCTCCTTAATATTTCCCAACTTCGACTATTGCTGTACGGTATATGGGGGCGTATCTGGGGATCTCGAGGCGAAACTTGATAAAGCTTGATAAATTGCTTTGTACGATTCATCTTCGGGGTCCCAAGGGACGCCTCTGTTTCCCGTTTTTATATAGAGTTGAAGTGGCTTTACCCTTCCTACCGTCGTAAGTATTTCCTGGCATCGTTCCTCTTTCAATTCATGCAATCACACCGTCCTTCATACATCTCCGAGCTCCTTCAATTCAAATCCTCTGTTCGCTCCAGTAATACTCGTTCCCGGTCTTCTGACTTATACATATGGGCCCACCGAAACGCATTCATTATTCGATCCTCATCCTTATCGAACTCCATCCCTTCCCACATCCGTCAATCTAATACCCTTCCTACCTTTAAATCCCGCCTGTTCAATCATTTCTTATCCATCCAGTCTCCATAAAATTATAAAATTGTAAATAAATACCACTGAAAATATATATATATTAGATTGTTCTTCATTATTTTTACTTTATTTTAAATTTTTTTATTATTAACTTATTTAAGTTAGAAAGTAACATATAATTTTTAATATGTTTTATTACTAAACATATCTTCTTATGTATCTCTGAGGCTCCTTTGCCCACATTACTGTCCTTCTGTATTATCCTAAAGGGACTCGTCCCGGAATAAATAAAGTGTTATTATTATTATTATTATTATATCTACAAATGTCAATTTAGTAGCGTAAGGTTGGTTTTATGAAAGAGAAAATAATAATAGCAATTACCAGTAGGTCGATAAAAGTATGGGATGCATTTACAGAGGCCGTAGCATTCCTTGATGCGGCACTCCATCCTGCACAGGTTGTAGCTGTAGACCGGGCTCGTGAGCAAGTTCGACTCCCGCGGCAGTCTGCACTTCCTCTGCTGGATCGATAGATCCTCGACTTCTTTTGCACTGACGATGCTGAGGGCTGTCAAGTCCAAGGTTTTGTAGGAATTGTTGAAACCTTCTATTTGTGGTATTGAAACATCTGGAAACTCAGTGGGGTCCAAAATATAAAGCTGTAAAATAATGTATTAAAAAATGTGTGTGAATGTTTTCTTAGTTACATTAGATATTTTATATGTAATTCATTGATAAAATTAGTTTTATATCCACTTTCAAAAAAATTACATAATGATGTATAAAATATTTTTGGAACTATGAGCTTTTGGAAGGGGTGTAGGTCTTTAAATATTGGTAATTATTGACAAGTGGTACTCTTTCGGCCATCTTGGTTGAATCATGGTTATCAACAATGTTTAGATAAGGTTTACAAAATACAGCACCAGAAAGCGCCACTATTGCGGAGGGGTTGTCTTGTCCCCTCCACCTCACCTCCTTTTTAATACAGTGGCTTGATAATAAAGTGGGGTCATATAGAGTCGATTTCTGATTGGTTGGCCATCTTGGAACGTCCCCTGCTATCTGCTTGCTCTATAGCATGCTCACCTCAAAACTGTTAAATTTTCATATTTTATTAGCAGTATTTTAGTTTAGAAGCTTAATTTTGTTGTTTTAGTAATAAATTTAGTTTACTAATAGGTAATTTTTATTTATTAGTTATGTATGTAAGTGTTTAAAGAGATAAATTCTTGAAGGAAATTAGTGGACTGTTCTACATATCATTAGTGATAAATATTCATGACGCAGTCTTTTTTAAAATTTGTTATTTTTGCCAACGTTTCAACCCAAACATGTGGGTCATCTTCAGGGCTGAAAATGTTTTTTTAAAAATAAAATCAGAGATATAATAGTATACGACCGCTAATTATAAATAATAAACTATAGTGATTGATGGTACATGAATCTTATTTAATATTGCAATAAACGTTGGCAAAAATAAAAATTTGGCAATTATTTACAAGTAGTACTCCTCCCGCCATCTTGGTTGAATCAAGATTATCAACAATGTTTCAGATAAGGTTTACAAAATACAGCACCAGAAAGCGCCACTATTGCGGAGGGGTTGCCTTGTCCCCTCCACCTCACCTCCTTTTTAAGTAAATCTAGAAATTATATAGTTCAGGTTACATATTACCAGCTTTTTTTAAATTAAGTATTCTTTCCCCACTATTTTCACTTTATAGAAAAACAATATCGATTGAACACCCATTCCAATTTCCATCTTATCAACATAATATTATTTATGCTTATAGTTTTTATATATATTCTGTCAATCAAACAGATTTTCAGTCTAATGGGCAACACACCGTCATAAACAATCTGTTTCATTGAAAGAACTTCATTAACTTAAATTTTGTTTTAATTGTGACACTTAATCTAAATTTTTAATACTTGATAGTTGTCCATTGTATATTTTAGATATTTAGATTGTATATAGTAAATTTTTAATTATTTGATGGTTGACCATTGTATATTTTGGATTGTATATATTAAAACAAAACTTTAGTTAATCAACTTCTTTAATTTAGGATAAGTAAACCGAAAAGCACTAATAATGATAAATCTCGAAGTTAAAAAAAATAATATTAGAAATATATAATATTTCTAGAAATATATAATATAAAAATTGATCGAGGTAATATGTGCCTATAAATAACATCGTAAATATAAAGTTTGCTTAATCAATATACGAAAAAATGCTGCTAATATATATTGTAAAGGTTATATTTGGTAATTATTTGTAATGAACGTAAGGTGGAAGGCAAGGTCAATAAAACTACCAGATTCAGGTACAGGTGGTGAGGGATCTTGAAACGTGACGTAAGGAATAGACTGTCAGACCTACCTATTACACCTTCAAGCCTATCAATGAAGGTTTATTTCAACATTATTGTCATTATTGTCCTTTAAATAAACAAATTTAATTAAAAAAATAAACAATTTTTTACTGCAAATCCTGATAATTTATTTTCACCTTATAATCTTTACAGTCAACTACTTATCCGTCTCTAAAATATTATTATAACGAATATTTATTTTTTATTTTTAATAACATGTTACACAGAATGCGTTTGTTCTTACTAGTATTTCTCATAATAACATAATTATTAATAGAATCTTAGAGAATGCCAGATACAATATGCGCAGTTGCATCTTGCAACAATAATCTATTTGGCGCAAAGAAGATGGGAAAGTAAATTTCATTTCATACTTTTCCAAATGACGCTCGAAGAAAAGATTGGATTATAAATGTAAATGTAAAAATATTGTAAAAAAATAAAACAAATATTGTAAAAAAATTACTAATCTTTTTCCTAGGGAACAAAATATAGAAATTAAAGAAGAACTGGTATTTATTAGAATAAAATTTTTAAATACCCAAAGATTTTTACACCAATTAAGAAAAAGTCAAAGACAAAAGATTTGAGAAAAAAATCACTACATAGGATTACTTATGACATTCAAATGTAATATTTATAAAAATTCACGGAATGAAAACGCTTCTTTAATTTTAAATTAAATAGTTTTTCATTTTTTAAAAATATTTCTGTTATTTTATATTATGCTCTGTATTTATTTGAAATATTTAAAAAGTATTATTGTGGTACTTTGCAAAAAATCATACATCAACTTGTTAAAATTACATTTTATTTGTTTCAGAATAATCCAAATATCAAATCAACCTTTCTCTCACCTTTCAAATTTATTAAAATTGATAAATTAATAAGTTATTTGGCAATACAGTATTTATTTAATGTAGAAAAGTAAATGATAATCTTAAAATGTCCAGAAACAAAGGCCGGAGGGATAAAATCAGTCTGTTGGCTCGATTCATCCCCTCCATTTTCCCTCTGAGTGAGCGAACCTGGTAGTTTTACTGACCTTGGTGGAGGGGACAAGAGGTGACTAGACAACTCCTCCGCAACAGTGGTGCTTCCTGATGGTGTGTTTTGTAAACCTTATCTGAAACATTTTGGATAACCTGAATTCAACCAAGATGGCCGAAGGAGTACCACTTGTAAATAGTTATCTAATTATTAAAGATATTATCAATGCTGAATTTCCAAGTTATGTGAAATACAAGTTTCGTGTATTGAAGCAACCATTTGGTTGGCGCGGTCCACGACAGCGACCGCTATTCAACGCTGCCAACCGCTGTTGCCGTAGCTATTTCGCTGAAACTGCTCACTGGGGTTGTTACAAAGATGGACATCCTATAATAATAAAAGTGAACATCCCTATAATCCTATAATAATGAACATCTCTGACTACCGCTTATTTTATTTTTGGAGGAAAAAGAAGAGAAAATATTGTTCATAAAGATTAAGAATATCAGTATTTCGATAAGATGTTCATCATTAAATCCCTTCTTGGACATTTTTTGCTACTGTCTAGATGAACAACCAAAAAAAAGAACAAAAAGTCGAGAAACGCCGTAATAACAACAATAGTCCCTCTGATATTAGATATTATTAGTTTGAAAAGTAATAGTAATTAATACATAATTTATTAATAATAAATATCATATATTTGTAATAAAATCCCAGCAGGCGATGTTTTGTAGTTTTATCAATAGTAATCAGTAAATCCCCACTTTAATTAAAAAATAAAAATCAATTTTTCAATGAGGGGATTTTAGTATTTACCTGACGTTAAAATTTGTTAGATTCTTTAATTTATTTAATATCGTTCGGATTTAGGTATACTTGAATTTCGCTGTAAAATATTGTTGGTGAAATAAATAATCTTGTTACTTCAACCTTAAAAAAAATAATTTACTATTGCATTGTTTAAGTTTCAAACAATATTTGTTATAATTTTGCCAGGCTTGAAAGAAATATAGGAAATAAAACGAATCGACGTGACTGTTATCATCAAAACAATGCTCTGATATGATAACATAATCTACAACCGCCGAACCGCCAACAGCTCCACTGCTTCAGATAGGAGCAGCTTAGATATGACGTCATACCTAGACTGCCGAGCAGCGCCAGCGAAATAGGTTCCTTTCTATTCCACTAAAGCAGTGGTCAACTGCGAGCAGTCGCGGTCGTGGACCGCGCCAGCTAGTACCTTTACCAATATTTAAGATGAAATTACCTTAATTTGTTGAGCTGGGCTGCTTTTGATCGAGCCCCTCGAGTCAACCAGCTATACATTTGATCCATATCGAGATTTTGGTTTTGCCAGGTTATGTAGGTTATTGACAACTTGTGAGATCGTAAATAAAGAAAAACATAAATAATATTTATTTTTTTAAATTATTTTTCCCTTAATCGGCTTCCGCCATTAGAGGCCTTGCCTATCTGGACGGCACACGGTGGCACAAACCTTTTTGACATAATTCTATAACTCAGTAATCCTTCAACAAATTTCCTTATTACTTCGTTCTATAGCATTACAACTAAATATACTCAATTTATGTAATGATACAATTTAAGACCAGAACAGGCTCGGTAAATAAAATAGTTTACAAGGTTTTATATTCCATTTAAATTATTTTTCATGTTTAATCATATACAATTGTCTTTTATAATCAATAACCTTTCTGATATGAGTCAGGAAAATAAGTATTCATTTTAATATTTTGAAGGAGGGATGATGGCGGGAGTGGGGTAGGCGAGGTGGAGAGGGGAAGATTTGGTGGAAGAGGGCAGTCCGTGTTCCCTGTAACTATATATTTTTAAAAAAAATCCCACAAAAATAGTGGCCGCACTGTCCCAAAATGGCGTCCAAATATGGCACATTAACGACTTTGACTTGAGTTAGTTTTTCGGTCGTTGATATTCAGCAGTTGGCTTAATTTCGTCATAATTGATCTTTTATTAAAGCTGAATAGCCAGAGAATAATAAAACATCAAAAAATGTAAAAAAAAATAATTGGCCTTAGGAATAAAACATACCAGTATATTCGGGATGAAGCACCCCCCAAAATGGTAAAATATAACCATGTTTTACAGAAAAAAATATTAAAAACTATCTCTTAAAGTATTCTTGTTAGTGTAGTTACATTTAACTAGTAGGCCCGTGCGAAAAATTCGCACAGCATATAGTTAGCAAATAAAAATTAATTTAAATCTTCATTTTTGTTTGAAACCAACATGTTTACAAATTTCAGTAAGCTGCATCTTTGCTAAAAATTGTCGGATTTCGATCATTTTTTTTTTTTCCTTTTGTAGGGAATTTAGTAATCTTTTATATAATCATGTACATAACCGAGGGAAAAGTGTGTAATTTTTCAGTTATTCGCAAATAAAGTTTGTTTTCTTTCATAACTAGTTTGTCTGAATTTTCATAGTGATTGGACTATTCTGCCGCCTGAAGGAGAAGGAAGGCTTCGAAATTGGTGGCTCAATCTTGAGATTTGGTGAAGAATTAACGATGATATGGCTTGCCGATCAAAAATACCATCGATAAATAATATAAACTGCCCCTCTGTCGATCATAGAGGCCTCAATTCGACGAAATGAGACCTGCATTCAATGACAGTACTACAATTAATGTAAGGTTGTGTGAATGCGAATCCTATGCCTTGCGTTATCTCGAAAATAGTACGTTATTGGGCTTAAAAACGCAGGATCCGATCGTTCCGGAGAAACAATCCGGGTCTTTTTGTACGCATCAAAATCTTCAAGATCCAATTTGTCCCGTATCGATCTACAGACCTACCACCGTTCCAGTATCGAAGCCTAGCAAAATGTTTGTATCGGCTTTATTTATTTTAGAAAGAAAAACAAAAGTGGAGAATACGATTCACTAACCCCCCGTGAAATTCTGAATCCAACGGTACCCCATTCATGGTATTTGAGCATGTCAGGAGCTTATATTTGGTACAAAACCGATTTCGAGCCTTACTGTAACAATATATGTGGGGGTGGGGATAGAACTTCCATAATTTTTCCAAATTAAAATTCTCAAAATCGAAACGGTTTTCTTTTCTCTTTTTTATATTAAGTTTTTGTCGAAGTTTCGCGATTACTAATTCATGATCCGACCCACATTCTGCTCCGCGATAAGACCGTACATTAATTATACTTAATTATATAATTAATTATTCTGAATCTGTGTTGTATCAAGACATGATCGATTTTATTTCGTGTTTGTGAATCCGGCGATGTCCAAGTATATTTATGAATATCCTTATGTTTAAACGTCATACTTTTAATTATCAGTTTTTTCGAGATGGCAAAGTTTATCAGACGGATCCCATTATCATTACTATATTCGTGCAAACTTTCTTTACCAATCGTCGGAATATAAACTTCTTCCCTTCCTACCTTTGCGTTCGCGTCAACTACAATTATTTTTATGTAGTTTCGCGGTTGTTTATCATAAACCCATTCGAGTTTATCGTAGAATTCACTTTTGACTTCATCGTCACTGTCTTCGGTCGGACAATGTATGTTTATTAATGCGATTTTGAACCAACGTCCCTGAAATGTAGCTACCGAAATTCTATCACTGAAGAATTGTACGTCCCTCAAAGCGGATAGTAATCTACTCCTAATTAGAAACCCGGTACCTAAACAATGATTCCCGCTTCCTCCGTACCAAATAGTGTACTTTCCTTCCCTCATCGAGCCCTCCCCTGGCCAGCGAACCTCTTGCAGAGCCACGACATCCAAATTGTACCCATTTACCTCATTCGCGACCGATTTTAGCCCCCCTGCTGTGTTTAAACTCCTTACGTTCCACGTACCAATATTTAAATCTCTATATTTCAACTTGCGCCATGAATCCCCTAAAGCAATCCCCACCCGGAGACCCGAACGGGGGACTAGTTTACCACCGGATAATGAGCGTTTTACCTTAGGGAGATTCATGACTATTTGTGGTGTTTGGTGAACTAAAGATATGTGAGTAGGGCGTTCAATCCTACGTCACACCCTCCAGCAAGTCTGGTGGGCTCCTACCTCCAGCAAGTCTGGAGGTCCACTCCCTCCAGCAAGTCTGGAGGTCCCCTCCCTCCAGCAAGTCTGGAGGGCCCCTCTCATTGTTGGTTAGCGAGTCCATCAGACTTAGCCGGGAGGAACTTCCAAGGAATTTCCACCGACCATCCCCACATCCGCCACCCGTGGGACGCTCCCCATACGCGGTAATGAGCCCGCGCGAGGCAAAAACATTATAAATAATAATTTTTGAAAACTAATAATATAGGGCTTAGACCCAGTGACGCGGTTGAGAGAGAAGTGCAGAGATCTACTGGAGTCATGCTTTTCCCTCCACAGTTGGAGGGACAAGTTTGGCTCGGAGTTCTCTCGCCTGATTGTAAATAGTGTATATCGGTGTTCTTTTTATTTATTTATTTTTTAGAGCCCTTTCAAGGTCCTGCAGTGTATCAGGAAGTGTTGCACGCGCTCTTATTAATCTTCCGAGGTTATCCCATAAATGCTCAATGGGGTTCAAATCTGGAGAACATGCTTGCCAGGCTAAAACCTCAATATTGTTCTGTTGAAGGAACGTCTGCACTATGCGGGCGACATGTGGGCCTGCATTATCGTGCAATAGAATAGAACAATCGCCGATTTCGTTAGGCGACACATAAGGCTCCAAAATCTCATCTACATAGCGAATAGCCGTCAAAGACCCTCCACGAACAACAACCAATTCTGTGCGGCGCTCCATTGAAATCCCAGCCCACACCATTAAGGAACCACGTAGGAAAGGTTGGCTCTGGGAAAAATTGCAGGCTGCATATCTTTCGTTTCTCTTCTCCACACCCTTTCACGCCCGTCTGGAGATCGAAGAGCGAATTTTGTCTCATCTGTAAAAAGTACAGCACTCCATTCGGACATAGTCCAATGGCTGTGGTAAGGTGCCGGTTTCGTAGAATTCTCAAAGTCAAAAACCGGTCATCCCGTGGTTCTGTTACCCTAGGCCGTCCAGAACCGGGCCTTTTATTGTAAGAACCAGTTTCCCGAAAATGCCTGACGGCGTCTCGTAAAGTTTCATATGGAACTCCGATGGCATTAGCTGCATATCTAATGGAACGTCCATCATCAATAAGTGCCACACCACGCGCAACATCCTCAGCACTAAGAGGCATTTTTAAACTTAATATTGAAAAAATTAAAAGCCGGAGACTAAGAAATGTGCCGCAAGAAACGCCACTGAACTGATGATACTGAATAAACATTTTGATTTCATAGAAAGTAAACATCGGAATCTAGAATCATTTCATTGAATTAAGAAGTAAGGGTTATTGTCCTCTATAATAACATTCCTAATTGAAAACAAACAAAAAGATTACCTATGTATCCATTAAAAACAATAGACCAATCCAAAACAGAAATATTTTTAGATGAAAACATGAAAAAATCAAGTGGGTGGATTTTTTTGCCTGTCAGTGTATATAGTTAGCTGCAAAAATGGCGATATTGCCGGTGATATCGATATAGAAGGTAATATGTTTGAACAGGCAGAGAACTTTAGGTACATAGGATTTACGATAACTATAAAAAACGAAATCGAAGAAACTTAATCAATACTAAGGTAAGACTGAAGGCGGGAAATGCTTATTATTTTTCTGTGAAAAAACTACTTAGTTCGCGCCTCTTGTTCCAAAACTTGAAAACTAGAATCGATAAAACTATTATCTTACCTATAGTTCTTGCGTGGCCGTTTACATCAAGGTATGAGCAACGTCTTAAGGTTTTTGAAAATAAAGTATTGTATAGAATAATCGTACCGAAGAGGGATAAGTTAACTGGAGAGTTTAGACGGTTACACAATGCCGAATTGCGTGAACAGTATCCGGTTAATATAATTGAGGTGATTACGTCGCGACGAATCAAAATTCGTCTACTCAGTCACGAAAGAATTGCTCAAAGGTTAATATTTGCTGTACTGAATGGTAATCGTTCGTGGAGTAGCCCGAAGCGAAGGTGGGAAGATTGCGTTAAAGCCGATCTGAAGGGACTGAGTTTGGACGGCGAACGTTGGAGGGAGCTGTGTAACAAGTGATTGGTGGTGTCGGCATCGAACCTTCGCCATCGCTATGCTAACTTTCGACCACTGTGCGGTGTGGTATCTCTCAAGTTCAGTAAGCGCGAGCATACACTAAAATGCGCTGCATTGATATCTACTCTTGAGCTGCAAAAGTTGCAGATTGGAGGGTCTACCACTCCTATTCTGTGCAAATGGTTCCTAAGGTAGTCGTGTTTTCATCCGAAACTCTACAACAGTATCCTTTCTCATTTTTCACAATCGCTATAATTTCCTTTACTATGCATTTCATATATAGGTAAGTGAAAGTAAAAATAAGAAGGAAATTATGCAACTCAAGTCTTCCAGTATCCTTGGATTTTTGTTTAATTATACATAGAATGAATACAGTGAATCCTACTATGATAAGCATGGTTTTATTGAATTTGATGAAATGACAAACTGCGTCCGATATCCTCCTTTTATGGTTATATCTTATTTAAAGATAACAAATGGTGTCGGATATCCTGCTTTCATGTTCATCACTTATGTAAACATAACAAACGGAGTCCGATACTCTGCTCTCATGTTCATAACTTGTGTAATAATGACAAACAATACCCGATATCCTGCATTCATGTTCATGACTTGTGTAAAGATGTCTCCATCTAGTGGACTGCTCCTAAATATCGGTAGTCCGGTCAACAACTGCCACTCCTTCCTTTCCCACATCCTTAAAATAAAAACATACACCAACTTATCTAAAACTAAATTCGGAAGAAAAAAAGAAAGAATTGAAATACTCACTTGGGATCGTTGTAGATGGTCGCGAGAGAATTGTAAGAATAACAGAACCCAACTTCCGTGACGACTTGGTTCATTTCCGTCTGATTATAAGCTTCAGTATTACTGTTGCTGACATTGTACGTGAAAGGAAAAGCTATTTTCCAGACCACCTTCCAATATGTTGATGGTTCAATTTCATCGGTGCTTGTCCTCACTTCACTGAACGTTCCAAAAGAGGCATTCGAAAGCTGCGTAAAAAATCCCAAGACAGTTTCCTTTTCCTTGATGTTAGAAAATCTATTAGTTGAATAAAATGATTACTTGGCTTGAAGACAATGCAATTTTTCAAATAATTTCAATACAAGGTATTGGAAAATACATGACATAAAAATAATCAAAAAAGAGTAAAAATGATACCCTAATCTTCCAGGCCTTCAATGGCTTTATACGGCATCTGAAATGCCGTGTATATCACAACTGTGGTGAATGAACCGAAACAACACAAAATTTTGCAACTTGTGTCATATACCAGGATGCCTATCTGACAACAAAGCTTGCCAAACCTATAAGAATCTCAAATCTAGACAACAGATACTCCGAATCAAAGTTGAAACAATCTTATTAAGGAGAGAATTTTATAAAATAGTGGACTAAGCGGTGGCGTTGGCACAATTAGCCAGAGGTGGGAGCAAAAGCAATAGATGGTATTGCCACTAGCTATGCCGCACCATCCTCAGCCTCAAACTCAACATCCTATTATTTAAAATATACCTAATCCTCAACTTAAACGTCAAGTTCTCATATTCTCTCTTCATCGAATATCACAGATCATACCAGTTTTTTATTTTTTTTTTATTTAATAGTAAATTCGCCACATCGAAGGGCAATAAGTAACAAGGCTAAATGTGTTCATTCATATCATATATACATATAATAGGGAAATAAAGAATAAATGAGTAAACTAGGAAAATGTAAATATAAAAATAGAATAACAAACATAAATAATACATAAGCGAAATAAGAAATAAATCAAAAAGTAAAAATAAAATAAATCATCTTAACACATTCATTCCTATGTACAATATTTACATTCGCCCAGGAAACTTCGAGCCAAGCTTTGTCCTCCAAAAGTGAAAGGCAAAGCAGGCCTCCAGTAGATCCCACTGCCTCTCTTCCAGCAGCGTCACTGGTATGCCAGTGGAGAATGATGGAGTGCACTAGAGCCAGAGATGCTCAGGACTTGAGTGGAGAAGCTAGCCATTGCCAGGACTCCAGAAGCATATTTACAAGAGATCTCTGCCATTTTAACCATCGAGGAGGATTGTAGGGATGAAGGGAGCTGGATAGGGATTGAGCTAGAGGATTTGGATGATAGATAAGGTTCTGGTGAAAGTTTGAGAATCTAGATGCGATAATGACAAGGACAAATGGGATGTTAACGTCATGGTGTAAGGTCTTAGTTGTGACATAATATGGGGGCATTGATTGTTGTTCTAAGTACTTTGGATTGGAAATATTGGATGCGTTTGATATTTGAATGTTTAGCAGTTCCCTACATTTCAAGTCCGTAGGTCCAGATAGGTTTCAGTATGGTCTTGTAGATTAAAAGTTTATTTTCAATCGAAAGATAAGAAGTCCTGCTTAGTATTCTATACAGCAGGCCATATCGTCGGTTAAGTTCTTGTCTCTTTAATCTGGTATGTGGATTCCAAGATAGTCTTTTGTCTAGAAGGAAGCCAAGGTAATGAACTGTATCTGAGTAGGGAAGTGGTATTGAATTAAAAAGATTGGCGAACAGGATCTGCGTCGCAGGGTGAAAGTGATATGTTTTCATTTTGATTCATTGATTTTGACGCCCCAATTGATGCACCACTGCTCAATCAAGGAGAGGTGAGATTGTAGGTTTCGGGATGCTATTTGAGGATCTGAGTGAGAGGATAGAATGGCAGTATCATCAGCAAATGTAGCTAGTAATGTATCGGGATTCGAAGGGATATCGGCATTGAAGATGATGTAGCGAACTGGGCCCAAGACCCTACCTTGGGGAACACCAGCCTCATCTGGATAGTAAGTGGAGAATTCGGTGTCACAACGGACTTGAAAGGAACGATTTTAGAGGTAGGATTTGAGGACTAGGTATAAGGATTGGGGTAAATGGGTTTTCAGCTTCGTAAAATAAGCCATCGTGCCACACCCGGTCGAAAGCTTGCGCTACGTCCAGAAAGGCACCAGTGCAATATTGCTTCTTTTCACACGAAGGCCTTGTTGGACAGTGGAATGTCTTGAGCGGAATCCAAACTGATGAGAACTTATATTGTGGGATTTGAGTATGGTTAGGATACATTTGAGGAGGATTTTCTCAAAGATTTTTAGACGATCGGGAGTAATCTTATCGGTCTATAGGATGATGTTATTAACAGGTTTATCTGGTTTTGGGAACAGGATGATTATAGAGTGTTTCCACACCAATGGAAATTTGATTGTACGAAGGATGCAATTGTATAAATAGGTAAGGAATATAATTGCTTTTTTGGGAAGTTGTCTAAGGATTTGTGAAGTGAGGAGATCATATTCAGGGGATTTTCGGGGTTTTAATTTGTTTATAAGGAATTTGACCTCAGAGGGATTAACAGGTTTTGGAGGTAGGGAGAGATGAATTAGCGAAGAGAGGAATTCTTTAACTTAATCAGTGTCGGTCGAATGGCGTTCGGGATGAGGAGTGAATGTGTAGGATAGATTTTTAGCCAACTCTTCAGCTCTCTTCGCATTTGACGAAGCCCAGGAACCATTATCAAGGCAAAGTGGGTGGGAAATGGACTGGAATTTAAGGATTTTTTAAGTTACATTCCAGAGGGAGTTATCACTAGCGGATAATGAGAAGAGGTAGGAATTATAGGATTGGGTTCTAAAGATAACCAGTTTCTATTTGGAATAATAATTATACGGTTTCCGGTCATCAGGATGCCTGTTTCTTTGCCAAAGGGTCCTAGAGCAACGTTTGCTATGGATAAGATCCAGTAGGTCTTGAGGTAAAGCATTTATGTTATCGTATTTTTTTCGGACGATCAGGTGAGGATGCAGTTCAAACTGCTTGCTGGATCAAGGTAGTGAAGGAATGCACTCCATCGTCGAGGTCATCAGGTGTTGTAAGGAAGCTCTGTGGTCTATATTATCTTCCGGCATTTAAAGGAAAAGTTCCAGTTAACTGGCCCCCTGATAAATGAAGATGGGGATGATTTGGGAATAGGAGGTGTGGAAACGGTTCGGATTAGAGGACTATGGTCTGAGGAAAGATCACCAAGCCTTGAAATGTAACAGTGTAGTGATCCTAGACCTTTGTGTAGGAAAAAGTCTAGAAGGTCGGGATTGCGGTTGGGATCTGTTGGCTGGAGTATTAGGTGAAAGGATGTTGCTGCGATGGCAATTAAGTGCAGATAGCAATGTTTGCCCTCGGGAATTAGTGGATCTGGCTCCCTATTGCTGGTGTTTTGCATTTAAATCTGCACCTAGGAGGAAGTGGTGTCCTAAGGAATTCAGGAAGGAAATTATTTGGGATTCGGAAATGGGCATTTTAGGCTGGGAATATGCCGCAACTAGTGTTATTGAGTAAAGGGAAGTTTGGATTATTAGGGCTGTGGATTGTAGGAAATTATGGGTTGGTAAGGGAAACAAATGATGGGAAACGGATCGATGTATAATTATGGCAGTGCCACCATGTACTGTTCCATCAGGATGGTCAGTTAGATAAATATTGTAGCCGGGCACGTTAATTTGTCGTTTGTTGGTTAGTAGGGTTTCAGTTATTAGTAATAAGTCGATGTTTTTGTCATGTATTAAGATTGTCAGTTCGTTGATGTGGTTCCGAATATCATTCGCATTGCAAAGGAGAATGGAGAGGAATTTGGTTGAGAACATTTATGGATTTCTTGGCAGTGGAATGAGGTTGAATATAATATTGATAAGTAACGGAATAAGAAGGGTAATGAGAGATCTAAATTCAGAAAGGAAAGATGTCAGTAGGCTTGTGAGTTCAGTGCAATTGGAAGGAGCAGGAATGAATGTCTGGGTATTAACTTAGTGTTGGGCATTAATTTAGTGTCATTGGCATAAATATTTTCCTGAGCCTACTAGATAATTCAATTGATGACTCATCAACTGAAAATTGTTAATATTTCTAACGAATATTGGTGGGTGTTTGAGTTCTCTGGGGATGGGTGCTGCTTCCATTTGTTCGTTATGTGTATTGTATGAGTATCGAGGCTCCTGGAAATAGTGTTTTTGCCCTTGCTCTGCATTAGCATGTGATAGTATCACATTTCATATCAATATTGAAAAGAAAAATTTATAAAAGAGAAGCGAGGGAAAAAAAATGTAATTATTGAACACGAAAATACATATGCGTGCTTGGAGAGGACTGATTAGCACAGACCTTCCTCCGACGGAGGGCTGCAGCCCACTGGTCGGATTAACAATGTATATGGCTGGCCGTTATCTAACTAACTTGAGGTCTATTTACACTGTTCACTCTTGCGTTGTAAATAAGTGATTACTCACCTTATGAGTGGTATTGTTTTAGTATCAAATCACTTTATTGTTCAGTATCAAACGTAATTGTTAATGCAACTGATAACACTAATTGTTCACATTAAACTTGTATGCTGCCACTGCTAATTGAGATTTTTATAGGAGACGACCTGACGTATGTTTAACTAAGGCTAACGCATGCGCAGAACTCCATACAAGTTTATTATCCTCGTTTCTCTCTGTATTCAATCCCCTTATTACTTCTCTGATATCACTTCTTTTTAATTATGTATTCCACCTCGTCCCGTCATTAAAGAATCCTTAATAACTTCAAAGAAATCAGTATCCATTCTCCTTTCAAATCCGAATGGTATAAAAGATCATACCTTTTTATTAAAATATTTTTTATTGAGAAAAAAGAATTCATTTTACTTCAATTAAGTGCATTGAGTATTTGAGATGTATGAAACACAATCATACTACAAATACAATAAAATAAAACCAATAGAAAATTATAATAAAAGAAAAGAAAAGAAAACTTGGAATAACAGAATAAATCAAACATGAGACAACATTAAATAAAAAATTAAAAACACATTCATACTTATTTACATTCAGCCGAGGGAGCTTCGAGTCGGGCCCTTCCTCCCACGTGTGGACGATAAGGGTAACAGCTGGTAAACTGGTGAGATCTGTGGTATTTGATGGAGGAGGAATGTGAAGAATATGATGTTGATAAAATTGTTTAGGATTAGGTGATGTTTGAGTAGGATGTTGAGGGTGGGGTTGAGAATTTTGAGGTATATATTGTTGTAGCGGCAGGGTCTCACAATATCTTGTGAGACATCTCACAACATCTTGCATCGTTGTGCAAAAGACACCTTCGGGTCTATGGTTTTGGAAGGTTCTTTTCTTGATCAGAATCTTTCAGTTTCTTCTTGGTATCGGGATTTCTGGTATCTGGATTTAATATGCTTGTATATCTGGCATCCTTTGTAGTTCACCGGATGTCCTTCATGGCACAAAGCACAGACTGCAGGTTCTTGTTTAGATTTTTTGCACTCACCAGTTTTGTGTTGTCCCCCGCATTTTACACAACGTGGCAAATGATGACAATACGTCTTCGTGTGGCCATACGTTTGGCAATTATGGCACTGAACGATATTCCTTCTAGGATACGGCTTCTCCTCTTTTACACTTGTGTAGTATAATCTTGTAACTTCGTAGATTTTTTTCGATCCCGGGAGTCAGTTTCAGGTCTATAAAAAATAGAAGTAGAGGAACTTTTACTCCTGGCTGTTCCTTAAACTCCTTTAGAATATTTGTTATCTGGCGCACTTTGAAACCTAAAGTTTCTAGTTCTTCTTATGTAACCTTTTAGAAAATTAAATTAGTGAATAGTTTGATGAAGTCCCTCTTGTAATATCCCAATAGTATCTACATACATTTAGTGTGACAACTTTTGACCTGTCTATGACAGACAATGCAAATCTCTTAATTCCGTTTTAGTAAACTTTGCAATGGAAAATAACAGTTTAACAACTAATAACTAATAATAGTCGCACAATCCCTAATCAACGGATCGTGCAATCCATAATCAACCGATGATATAATAAATAGGACTGTTGTTATATTAATGGTGTTTATTTTTTGTTAGCTGTATTTTTTTAGCTTTAGTTCGGTTAAAAATGCAATTCAAATTTTTTTTATAGCTCAACATGGCCAGAAAATAATTTTTGTTCAAAGTTGAGCGGTAAGTGAAAGTTGTGTGTTGCGCGCACCAGATTTTTTAATAACATGTGTGTTATACCTTATAACTTTAGGTATCTCGCCTGTATCCTGAAGGAACTCCTAACATCTGAGAATAAGAACTACCAATGAACTTTATAAATCTGTATAACTTTATCGTTATGGATAATTTAAGTGCACAATAAACAATAATTTGATTTTTTTTTGAGGCGGAACATACCTCTGTTACACAAACTATTTTAAAATATCTAATTAATGCTGTAATAAACTATTACAAACTATTTAATAATGCATTTTCTAATTCGGTGCCGCGGAGATAAAGTACACCATGTCCATTTTTATCATAAATAATTTATAAACTAAAAAACTAATTTTAATAGCTCAAAGTTATGGAACATTATAACTGTTCTCAACTAATACAAAAATGGACACTGTGTTCTTTAGTTCCGAAGTAAACAACATAAATACTTCTCATAAATTATTTTATCAAGATTTTCTTGATCGTATTTCGGCAAAGGACAGATCGTAACTGAGGGAAAAGACGTGTTCCAGTCTTTGTAATTCGTTTCCATGGACACCACCGTCGGGTTGTTTTGAAATCTATTCCAAGTCGATAGGCTCAAGATGGCTGCTCCGCAAATTGCCAGGACGATAACACTCCACCACGCCAGTCTGAAACGTCAAATATGGTTTTTAAAATATCGATTCAAACATTCGCATAAAAAATCGTTGCATACATTTTTGCAAATTGATCAAACACATCTGATTTAATTACGGGTCAGTATTTTTATCTCAATTTTGGTTTATTATTTTCAATAATCAACCATTGTGATCGACCGAAAAATTCAAAAACTTAACCCCCTCTCAAAATTTGAGGTTTCACATTTCAGGATGCGTAGAATTCGAAATATGTGATATATAGTAAGTGTAAGTATTGCGATCGAGAAGATTTTTGAATCTGAGTTTTCGACAGATTTATACATTTGAGGTACCCTGAGTCGAAATGACCAAGTCCCGAAAAATGGTCTGTGTGTCTGTGTGTTTGTATGTTAGCAGTCTAGCTCAAAAACGAAAAGTCCTATGAAACTGATATTACGTATTTAAGATAGGTATGTGCCTTAGTTGTGACGGCAACTTTTTCCTTAAAATCGGCTAACCGGAAGTGCCACTTTATATCAACGCTGAAACACATGTTCACGGTTTTCTCAAGAACGGCTCTAACGATTTTGATTAAACTCGGTGTATCATTGTATAATTAAGTGGTCTTTAATATAAATTAGGTCTTATCCCCATTGATGTCACTGAACAGGGCTTAAATGCCCAATGTTCATATACGTCTTCCTCTAAAGTACCTTTAATGTGGTTTATTTTAAAAAGATAATTATTTCACATTATTCAGAGTTACGAAAAAATGCTAAATATAACTTTTGAAAGAAGTTGATAAGTTAATAAAGGAAAAAAAAATAAAAATGCAGAAAAACGTAGCTATAGACTGTAGCGCCTAAACGAATGTACCGATTTCATTGAAACTTCGCTAAAGTCATTTTTCTCGACACTTTTAAAATTTATCTATTTAACATTCATCAGCGAAAAGAAGCTGAAAAAAAGTTACGAAGGATGGTAAAATTAAATTCCGAATAACTCAAAAAGTATACACTTTTTTGGGAATGTTGTATATGGTTTTCTAAAAGTTTATGGAATAGCCTTAAAAACAAAAACAAAAATCGTTAAAATCGGATAATTAGGAGATAAGATATGGTCTCTAGTTTTTTTTTTAATACGTTCTGCTGCAATGGTTATATCCTTTGTTTCGGTTTTTGAATTTTGAATGTGTTAATAAGGTAATGCTAATTTTTTAAAAATGTATTTAAAATCCATCTAAGCAAGTTGATGGCATTGTTAAAAAAACTATTTCAGTGTACTTGTGTGAAAGAAGAAATAAAATATAAAATCATTTCATGGATGTATAAAGCATATGTTTATAATATTAAATACATTTACTGTAGTTTAGTAATTATTTATTAAATTTTAAATTGGTCCATAATCGTCTTATCTTTTTGGCTACATTCAATGAATTGCTGTGTTATATATGTGTGCGATGTTATATTGCGTTCCTGGCGTTTAAGAGAAAAAAGGATTTTTTTTATTTTTATTTTGGGAAAGTGTTTATAAGGTTTTATTATATTGGGAAAGTGTTAGAAAAAAAAAGAAAAATACAATATAAAATTAATGTCCGTATGGATTGATAAGTATGCTGTGTACGAAGCAACCCTATGTAGTAGGGCAGCATTACTTTTAATAAAATATTTCTCTCTAAATAATTAGGTATTGAAGTTAATTCCAAAATATTGTCATATAACTTTTTAGAAAACTAAATTAGTGAATAATTCGATAGATCTTCTCTTTGTGATATTCCTCTACCATTTCATTGTACTTGTGTGAAAAAAGAAGTGAAATACAAAAATTTTTCATAGATACGTTTATAATCCTAAATATATTTACTGTAGTTTAATAACTCTAGATCTCATAATATATTTAAATATTTAGATATCTATCGTCCGTTTATTCTGAAAAATCATCATGTAACCTTTTATAAAATTAAATTAGTGAATTGTTAATTAATATTTAATTAATGAATAGATAATTTTTCTTTTTGCGATATTCCAACGGAATCCACATACAATTAGTGTGAATTTAATTTTCGAAAAATAAATTAGTGAATAGTTTGATGAAGTCCCTTTTGTGATATCCCAATAGTATCTACCTACATTTAGTGTGACAACTTTTGACCTGATGTGCGTGAGATGTGGCCTAGGCCATGACAGTACTACTTGCACCAAACCAAGAGATACAGCCGCGAAGTGTGCCAATTGCGGAGGGTCACACCCAGCAAATTACAGGGGTTGTAAAACGTTAAAAGAATTAAGGGAAGCCAGAAATCCCAGGAAAACATCGAAAAATCCTGACAAAACACAAATTAGCGTACCTCCAGCAATCCATGAGTTTCCGCCTCTACCTGAACTTCAGCAGTCTCACTCAGCTTCCTTCACATCAAATTCGCAGCATCCGAAGAGACAACCTCCACGAACAGCACCTGAAGCAGTACCAGGTCACCAACAGCAGGGATTTTCAGGCATGAGAAAGGGAAAACCTCTTGCTGACATTCATCCAGCATCGGCTCAGCTACTCAACTTAGTAAGTGGGTTAAATAATCTCATCCAGCCCCTTTTCAGTCTCCTCCAAGAACTTTCACATGTCACCCAGGCCTTATTCACTGACTATGGCAACTAATCAGCTGACTGTGGGCTCCATGTCCGTTCTTCTTTGGAACGCAAACGGGGTTAATCAACATAAGACTGAACTTGACATGTACTTGCACGAAAAACGGACTGACATTGCCCTTATCACCGAAACACACTTAACTCCACGTACTAAATTTTACATTCCCGGTTACAGAATATACAGAACCGATCACCCAGACAATACAGCTCACGGCGGCACAGCGATACTAATTAAAACATCACTAAAGCACCACTCACTACATTTACCCATTACACCTGATATACAATCTACAGCCACTATATACCCAAAACCAAACCATTACCTTTGCTGCAGTGTACTGTCCTCCGAGGTACGTGCTCACACCTGCGATGTTTTATAATTTCTTCAGTCGTCTGGGGAGGTGTTTTATTGCTGGTGGCGATTACAATGCCAAACACCAGTCCTGGGGATCACGACTTTGTACTCCTAGAGGAAGAAACCTAAAGTCTGCCATCCATCAGCTTTCATTAGACACGATCTCACCTGATACACTTACTTACTGGCCAACTTCAAGACAGAAAACAGCAGACCTACTTGATTTTTTCGTCACTAAAGGACTAAGGACTGTACCATACACTATAAATGCAAGCTGCGATCTTTGTTCTGATCACTCTCTTCTCAGCTTAGTACTGTATGATGAGCCATGTACTACAATGAAACGACCATCTCTCGTAGGAGGAATTATCGATTGGGATGGATATCAAGAAAAGCTAAACGAAATGCTCTCTATTCCAATGTCTCTAAGGAACGAATATGAAGTTGAAGAAGCTGTGGATAAATTCACAAATAGCATTCAACAAGCTATATTGTCTTCTTCTGTCCCAAGGTCCAACAGAAATAAGTGGCTTCCAACATATCCTCAGTACATAAGAGATTTGATCAGGGCAAAGAGAAGAGCTCGCAAAGTATGGCAAACTGGTCGTCTGCCATCTGACAAACGGACATTCAATAGACTTAACAATGAACTAAAACGACATATTCAAAGTTATAAAACTACAATTTACGACAACTACATCAGAAATCTCTCTACTGACGATGGGAGCTTATGGAGGCATACAAAAAAACTTGTAAATCATCGTGAAGTGTCTGCACCTCTCCGAAACGAGGATGGTTCCTGGGCCGTGTCAGATATAGAAAAATCGGAGCTATTCGCTATCCATCTTTCTTCTCTTTTTACTCCACATACTGACTTCAACAACATTGTACACGAAGAAAAAGTACTAAACACTTTAGACATTCCACTACAATTAGAATTACCTCCACCTTGTTTCACTCCGAAACTTGTTGCAGAACAAATTAGACAATTACCTAAAAAGAAAGCCCCTGGTCATGACCTGATAACTGCTGAAGTGCTCCAGAAAATGCCTAGAAAAGCTCTAGTTTACTTAACATCTATTTACAATGCAATACTCAGAACAACCAAATTTCCTGTACAATGGAAATACTCACACATTACAATGATCCACAAACCAAACAAAGACAAATACACCCCTTCATCATACATGCCAATTAGTCTACTCCCAATATGTTCCAAAATCTTTGAAAAACTACTATACAAAAGACTTATGAACATATTGACGGACGGAAAAATAATACCCGACCATCAATTGGGATTCCGGCGACAGCATTCAACTATCTATCAATTACACAGGGTGACTGACTACATTGCAACTGCACTGGAGCAAAAATTGTATGCAACTGGAGTATTTCTGGATGTCGCTCAAGCATTCGATAGAGTATGGCATAAGGGTCTTCTCTTCAAACTCAAGACGATACTCCCTCCTACCTATTATCTTATACTTCAATCCTTTCTTTCTGACAGATTTTACTCTATCTGCCAAGGCTCAGAACTTTCTTCAATAAGACCAGTCTTAGCAGGTGTTCCTCAGGGGTCAGTACTAGCTCCGCTTTTATACATTATATACACACACGACATCCCTAACAGCGCCAGAACTATTATAGCGACTTACGCAGACGATACAGCTATTCTAACAAGACATAAAAACCCAACACACGCCACACAGACTTTACAACATCATCTAACAAAACTAAACGACTGGTGCAAACTCTGGAAAATTCGACTCAACCAAGACAAATCACAACACATCACTTTTACTCTTCGACATGGAACATGCCCTCCTATTTACCTTGACAATGCCGAAATTCCTCAAACAGATAAAATACAATATCTTGGACTGACATTCGACAGAAGAATGACATGGGGTCCACATATCAACAAAAAAAGAAAAACATTAAACCTCAGACTACGACTGTTATACTCACTTCTCTCAAGACGCTCAAAATTAAACCTAAAACAAAAACTGAACACTTACAATTATCTACTTAAGCCC